TATTGTTAAATTGTCTTTATACCTACCTTGTACTGAAACATTTAAATAAATGTCCCAACCTTCCAAATTACAATTAATATCATCTTCGATACGGAAAACTTAAACCGTAATGGACAATACTTTTCACGTTACTTACTCTTCGGACCTGCCATTTTGACCATACACCCCGCCTATCTGTTTCGGCAGGCAGAGTCAAACCAGCGGCACTTACCGTAACAATAAGAACGTTTTTATGACTTACTCGTCAAACCGAGATGTCACTGCTGAAAATCAGTAAATTTCTAAGCGTTATATCTCGAAAACTAATAAAAATCGGGTAAGTACATAAAACCTTGATGAATTCGTCTTGAAAAGCACTATCGCCTGATCGAGAAAAAATTATAGTTCCATTTAAAAAAACGAAACTTCACCATCATATCTTTTACATTAATAACAATAAAAAAATTTTGCTTCTGCCAAAACATAGGGCCTCTTTTACCCTGCAATTTCCATATAAGCACTTTTTCGTGACATCAATAGTTCATGAGATATGACGCTGTAACACTTTGGCGCGGACACCCTGTACACAAAAATATTCATATTGATATAAAATATATACAACATTCATATTTAAACAAAATAAATTTATTTATATTCGTGTTTGAACTTAAATAAATGTATTCACATTTAAATAGACTTATGTTTATAATAAGAGAGACATATGTTTATAATAAGTTTATAATAAGATTTATGTTTACTTGCACATAGAATATATTTTTTTCTTAAAGAAAGTACCGTTAATTTTTCGGTCCCTCACTCAACTTATCCACACAGTTCATCATCGCAATTAAAACTCTGTTACATCGTTCACGTCGTAGCAAACTCGGAACCCTTTGTTCTCGGCCGAGGAGAAGCAAAAGTAATCGTTTTCAGTCTTTCCGTCGTTGTCTTCGCGTGTCCCTGAAATGCGCCATCTTTTGCCTTTGAAATAACGCCGTTCCAAGCGGCGCTGGCAGAAAGATTACGGGACGATTAGGCAAAGGTTTCGCAAAGAGGGACCATTATTTTCATCAGCCACGTCATTCCTCGTGTTCAGAAGGGTAATTCGAGCGGCCACTGAATTTCTCCCTCGGTTTCTGCCGCAACCCCATACTCATACCCCTTCTCGCGAAATGAGAGAGAAGGAAATTTAGTTTTGAGTAAGGGTGAGCGAGGAAAAATTGCGCTGGATAATGAACTTCAAACTAGCCTCGCGAGTTTTTAATTAACATCGAATTAGCCGACCCCTCCGGCAAAAATGCGGTCGAATAATTTCTGGATAGTTTGAACGCTTTTGGATCATCTTTTTGCTAAATGGTGTTGTTCGGATTTTTGACCGAGATGAAAATGATTTAGTGGGTTTGTTAAACTTTGAATACCATCCAATCGAAAGGTAAACAAAATTCAATGTTCACTTGGAATTTTTTATAGTGAGTTGTGGTAATCTGATGAAGAAGATAATATCGAAGTCTTGTACTGTATTTTATATTAATTAACTATTGAATTTTATGTTGTGAACGAATTATGATCTGATGAAGGAGATAATTAATATTGAAGCCTTATACTGTATTTTATATTAATTAACTATTGAATTTTGTATTGTGAACGAATTATAATCTGATAAAGGAGATAATTAATATTGAAGCCTTATACTGCATTAGACTGTATTGGTTTTGTATTTCTAAGGGAGCTGTCAATGATTATGACGTTCTCACATTGTAATTGTGTTACGTAGAACATCACATTGTTATTTAGAGTATGATTCTCCTATTTGAACAATTTCAATGATGTAATATGAACAATATGGTGTTTTTGTTACAGGTGATACAACACAATTGGATTTAGATGGATTGATGTATATCGGTGGTGTGGGTGCCCCATTCGCACCCCTAACAGTCCCCCCAGTGTTGTGGACAGGTACCTTGAGACAGGGTTATGTCGGCTGCATGAGAGACCTTGTCATAAACGGAGAACCAATCGATATCGCTGGTTATGCTCAACAACAAGACTCTGGTAAGGAAATGTTTCCAATTCGCTAATAACGCTTTAACGTAAATTCTCAATTTGCCTCTAAATCTAGTTAAATTGATTATCTTTAGAAGTTTGATAAATTTGAGACAAAAGAAGATAGATTTAAAAATCTATTTAAACTGATTCTTTTTTAGAAGTTAATTTTATAGCAACTAAACATTAGAAGATTACAATAACTGAACTGTATATGCATATTTTATTATAAAATAATTTTTGCTTGTTTTACTATAGTTCAAAACTGAAATTTTGGTTTACATAATAAACAAATTTTATTTTGTATTTTGTTGTGTACAAAGGTGTCATTTAATGGCTTATGGCTTATGTTAATTTTAATACAATTCAGATTAACGTTTATACTGTTTATATTTTTGAGGATATTAACTTTGCTGATGTAAAATATGAAACATGTGAAAACTGCAATTTTTCAGTATTTAAATTCTTTACTATTAGTTGAGCTTGCTAATATTTTTTTGTAAGTTTGAAAAATTCTATTAAATAATCCATAGATTGAGATCACCCTTGATATTTAATCTGATCACATGCTACTTTTTGGAAGTAATTTAAATTTCAAGGTTGAATTTAAATTCATCCATATTTACCTATTTTTTAGTTGAAATTTGTCTATATAAAATTAAATTAATTTTATAAAAATAAAGTCTTAAATCATACTAAATTCAATATGAAATATATTAAAAAATAACCTATAAAACATACTGTTTCATCTTGTTATAATAAAAAACAAAATATAACAAATTTAAAATTTTGTAGAAACGAAATATAACAAATTTAACATTTTTTAGAAACAAAATATAAAAATAGCAATCTATTGAAAATGAAGCATATGAACAGATAAAATGGTATGTTATGATGTAAAAATATAAAAGTGAATAATAGACTATAATTAAAATAATAGCTACCTATAGAACATTCTTTCACCGATCACACGAGATACGTAATTTATTGCAGTGTTGAAGCTCTACCGTATGCAAAGGGGCGACAAAATATTGACCTAAACTGTAGTTCTACACTGTTCACGTAAGGTGTTTACCATGTTCTTGAGTCTTTGTTTGAAAACACTTGCTGCTATAATTCCACAAGCTGCGTAAACAAGAAATGACATCATTGAATAGCTAACTACTGTACTGACTAATTCATTACGTTACCTTTCTCAATGCACTTCTCAGGTAGAATGCTAAACTCCTTAGACAGTGTATGTACAATTCAATTATTAATTTAATCGAAACATATTTATTCGTAGGATATAAGTAATATATAACTTTATATTTACTTTATAGTTACTTTTTTTTATTTGTAAGATAAATGTAAAATTATTTTATTTTTTTACTAATTCGTAGAAAGTGATTAATTTAAACAATTAGATGCAAATGAAATTTAGTAATGTAGTATTATTAATACAAGGTTTGTGAACATATGTGCAGTTACTTCTAGACTAAAAATAAAATATGACAAATATATAACAGATGAAACGAAAATTAATTTATACAATTATTCTTCGTGTTAATAAAAATTAATATACATTTCAAATAAAGTATCTAAATTTCTATAGTTCAACATAAAATGCGTCATTTCGACGCACTTCACGAATCTACTACTAAGTACACGATGGATATAAAATGATGTTATTAATTTATTTTGCAATTGAATATTGTTTTAATATTACAAAAATTGTGGAAAGAATATGTAGACGAAAAATTGGAATAAAAAAATCATGTTTTAAGAATAAAAAAAAATTTCGCTGCGGACAGGATTCGAACCTGTGCGGGCATAGCCCATCAGATTTCGAGTCTGACTCCTTAACCACTCGGACACCACAGCTTACGTTAGAGACTGTTTCATAATAGAACTTAAAGGAGATTCATATATTTTTAAAACGTTACTATATTTTGTTTAAATGTAACTAAACTAGTATTTATTAATTTCGATGTTTAATATTAAATAAATAATTTCGAATAATACTTATACGACAATAGACACAGAGAAAAATTGACATTTTTAAAGAACTTGAAATATTATACCTTGTAAATAACTATTATAAATAACTTAAATATTAGTTTATAAATTATGTTCATAAACAAATTCGAGATCTTTCGTATATTTTGATACAAAGTTTAAATTTTATTATAAGAAAATTTTAAGATTTTTATATATTTAATGGAAAATGATTGAGTCGTTTTTGTGTCAATTAAAAATTATTTCTTCGGTTTGTAATAACAAAATTACTTAGTTAGTAGTGATAAATAATAAAATAAATTAATTTTAAAATTCTACAAGGATAAAATAGATGACTGCGAATTTAATTAATTTAATGTAATTGCTAGTAATTAATAAATTATTCATAATTGTTTATAATTAACAAAAAATTGTTGTTGTTATTAATTATAAATTGAGTATATGTACATTACTTTTTGAACATCACTGTTAATTTATTTGTTTTTAAAATTTTTTTCAATATCTAAAAAAAAATATTTAAACTCTTATAGTAAGTATAGTAATGATCAAGAACAATCACTCTAGTTATTAATAATAATAATAACTAGAATAATAATAAATAGAGTAAATAAGAAGAAAATAACAATAAACATCTAACTTAAAAATTTATGCAAAAAATGTTGTATAACATCAAAAATTTCTGTTAAAAGCTGATATAAAATCCTGAAAAGTACAACAAAGCATTATAATTAAGCTAAACAAAAATATGCTTAATAACTCGCAGTAACGTTGCATGAAATACAAGAAGTCTGCATGATGTTATTTTGTGTGGCACATGTGCAACACGATACATCAAAAAGTTAATTATTTAAACAAAATGGGTGGTCGCTGAAGGTAGAAAACAGAACACAGAAAGGAAGTTTACAAAAGGGGTATAGAATTTTGAAAAATAAACGTTTTAGTCGAAATGAAAAACTTGAACTGGAAATACTTGTCACCGGACTGTGTACAGTAATTTCGTTTCTGTGGACAATTTTGCAGGCGCTGTCAGACCAGCTTGTCATTCTCAACCACCACACTGTCCTTCACAACCATGCATGCATGGTGGCCATTGTCTCGAGGGTTGGAACAGGTTTCATTGCGATTGTACCGGAACACCCTTCACGGGTCCTACATGCGGCAAAGGTAAATCTTTACCTGGATATTCATCTTCAACTTCCTTTCATGATCGTATAAATTATATTAATTTATCTACTGGGCCACAATGTTACAGAAACATATTTAACTATATAGCAAATTAAATATTTTCAAAGAAAAATTTGCATATTCTATATTTTGTACATTCTTCATCTTACAATTAAAAAATAAGTTTGTTAATTAGATGTATTAATCAAATGTGGCAGTTAAATGTGACAACTTAATGTGTTAAATAACGTATGTGTATCTAAATGTGTCAACTAAATGTGTCAACTACATATGTGAACTAAATGTATTAACAACATATGTCAACTAAATATATTAACTACATATGTAAACTAAATGTGTCAACTATATATATGAACTACATGTACTAACTACATATGTGAACTAAATGTGTCAACTACATATGTGAACTAAATATACTAACAACATATGTTAACTAAATGTATTAACTACATATGTAAACTAAATGTGCCAACTATATATGTGAACAAAATGTATTAACTACATATGTGAACTAAATGTGCAAACTACATATGTGAACTAAATGTATTAACTACATATGTCAACTAAATTAACTGTGTATGTCAAATATATGTATTAACCACATATGTCAACTAAATGTATTAACTACACATGTCATCTAAACGTGTTTAAAGAATATTGTCAATATGTTCATCTTTAAATATCATTGGTCAATTACAAATGCACATAAATCATTTTTACGTCCAAAATTAACGAACTACATTAACATCAATATCCACATATGAATTTGTCAATCAAAGTTCGAAATTTTCACCACTGAAATTAATAACCATCATTCAATTTGTGTTTAATATCTTACAGATGCATCAACATTGCATCTAAACGGGACACAGCAAATGACAGCCCTGATGCCAGAAGATTCGAAAACTCAAGCAGAGGAAGTGGTGGTTCGTTTCAAAACTACCAGGCCACGTGGACTCCTTTTATCGACCAGCCTCGAGAATAGCCCAGATCGTCTGCAAATCTATCTGGAAGATGGCAAAGCGAAACTGCTGATCCACATCGGTGACAAGGAAAAGGTGAGTCCGATGCAAATCTATCAAATCACTTTTCCACCGCTTTTTAGATCTTCGTAAAAATCGGGAGATCTTATTTCGATAATAGTTGCGACACGCGAAAGATGTTTGTCTGAAAAGAACTTTTAAAGTGAAAGTTCAAATAAAAAGTTTGCTGAAATTTTTCTTACGATCTAAAGTTCTTAATTTTTTATTTATTAATTGCATAATTAGTACATTGTCAAATACGATGTAGACATTCTTTAAAATTTCTTTTAGGGTCAAAATTTCTTTAATGAGTAAGGAAACTTTTCAAGAAATAACCCGATTAAAAAACTGTAAAGTGAAATATCACGATAAAAATATTACTTCAATTGTGTGAACTGTTAATATATGATAATGTGAGAACAAATTTAAAAAAGAATTTTTATAGAAGTTTTGATGTTCGGTTTTAGAGAAACATGTATTTGCATGAACTCACTTTATTGATCGGTTTAACTTTCAAGAAGCACAAATTACTGTCGTAAAAGTAAACTGATGGAAAGCCGAAGAAGTAAACAAATTCAGGTAGCTCGACATATTCCCCACTATACAACTGTAGTTACTTTTTGAAATTCTGCTCGTCGAACTCGAGTCAGTTTCGAAACGACCGTGGCAGAATAAACATCTGGTACGCTTGTTGGAAAATGGAACATAAACGTCACGGTAGCGGTTTAGTGTCTTTTTTAGTGTCGAGCGAAGTGATAGTTCATCAACGTTATAACTCTTCACGACGCGCGTGTATGTTATACTGTTACGTAACGATATCAAATTTGATTATTGATTTTAGGAATTTAGGATTTTGGAATTTTGGAATTTTGGAATTGTGGAATTTTGGAATTTTGGAATTTTGGGAATTTTGGAATTTTGGAATTTGAGAAATTTGGGAATTTGGGGAATTTGGAATTTGGGGAATTTGGAATTTGGGGGGAATTTGGGGAATTCGGAATTTTGGAATTTGAGAAATTTGGGAATTTGGGGAATTTGGAATTTGGGGAATTTGGGAAATTTGGGGAATTTGGGGAATTCGGAATTTTGGAATTTGAGAAATTTGGGAATTTGGGGAATTTGGGGAATTTGGAAAATTTGAGGAATTTGGAATTTGGGGAATTCGGAATTTTGGAATTTGAGAAATTTGGGAATTTGGGGAATTTGGGGAATTTGGAAAATTTGAGGAATTTGGGAATATTTGTGGAAAAATGATGGAATGGATAATTGGGGAATTGGAGATTTGGGGATATGGGAATTTGGGTGGAATTTTGGAATTTTAGAATTTTGGAATTTGAGAAATTTGGGAATTTGGGGAATTTGGGGAATGTGGAAAATTTGAGGAATTTGGGAATATTTGTGGAAAAATGATGGAATGGATAATTGGGGAATTGGAGATTTGGGGATATGGGAATTTGGGAACTTGGGGAATTAGGGAAATTTGGAGAAGTTGGGAAATTGGAGAATTTTTTAGAATTTCGGGGAATTTAGGGTATTTGGAAAATTTGGGCAATTTGTGTGATTGGGGAATTTAGAGAATTTCAGAAGTTTGGGAAAAATTTGGGAAATTTGGAATTTGGAGAATTTGGAAATTGGAGAATTTGGAACTTGGGGAATTTGGAACTTGGGGAATTTGAAATTCGGAGAATTTGGGGATCTTGGGGATCTTGGGATTTGAGGGATTTAGGAGCTAAGGAATTCGGGATTTGTTGAATTTGAGATGTGGGGAATTTGAGAATTTGGGAATTTGGGAACTTGGGAATTTAGGAGTTTAAGAATTTTAGAATTTTGAAATTTGGGAATTTTGAAATTTTGAAATTTTTAAATTATGGAACTCACAAATTTTCGTCCATGCTTTGCAGGATTTTTGAATCGTCAGAATTTGAAAAGGAGAGTATTTTGGAATTTTTGAATTTTATATTTATAGCTTACATGTTTGGAATTCTGAAATTACAAAATTTTAAAACTTTATAATTAAAAGTTAAATGAAAACTTCTAAAAAAGGACTATAGTATTTTATAAACATTAGAAAAAATTAGAAAATCCTTTCTAATTAAAGTTAGATATAAAAAATACTATTGAAAAACTGCATACTTTTCAATTTGAAAAATCGTAAAAACAAAAGAAAGCTAGAATGATTAACGTTTCGACTAAAATAAATAAATCCAAAGAAAAGCAAATTGAAAGCTCGAAATTCGAAACAAGAAATAAATGGAAAAAGCAATAAATTTTTCAATAACTGCTCTTCATAGCATGCATCAAGCATCAGTACTTTGGTAAATTGCGATCCACGGCGTACACGAAGCGCGATAGTGCATGAAAATTCGAACAACCATGCTCACCCTCCAACACGATCATAATTCATCGATTCATTCGGTTCGTTTTTCTGAGACAGAATAAATTGGCTGTAAAAATTCAAATCGAAGGAAAATAGACGCGGTTGATAGAGTCTATTCATAATTCATGGAAAGTCTGAAAGTTTAAGTTTCTTGGTGAAAAATACTCGTACAAAAAGTGTTAGGTGTACCAAAGAGGTTAGGTTAGGTTACAAGTTTTTAGACTATATTTTTTTTCATGTATTTCGTGGTTATGAAGGAAAATTTTATAAAAAATTAATTTAACAGTGTGTTCAGACTTTTTTTTATTTTTGATTATTTTATATTTGGAAATATTTATTGTTTAGGTTTAATTTCAGTAGAATAAAAGAGCACATAACCATGTTTAAAGTATATAATATAAAGAGATAATACAAAAGATAATGAATACAAACTAATATAATGAAGTAAAGGAAAAACTATCTATGCTACTACCGCACATCTTCGTTCTCTAACGGTCGCAACGGAAGTGGAAGGAACTGTAGAAATGTATGGCCGAAAATCGGCACGCGTCGAACTTACGAAACCAAAAGTCCCTATATTTACTGTATTGCCAATCTAATAACTAACTGGACGAACAACTTTCTTCATTTATTTGATGCTTGTATTGGACTCTTTTGGTATTTTCTGTATATTGACACGACGGTGTTTGTAAATTTTGTACGCTTGTATAATGTTTGTTTAAATGAAATAAATATATAAATTAAATAAATGAAATTATTGAGCTTCTAAATAAATTAAATTGTTATCAAAGTTAAGTTGTAATAGTATAAATTAAATTAATACTATTATACATATGTATAGTACAATAAGTAACATGAGTATTATTTAAATTAACGACTGAATAAATAATTAAGTGAGACTTGCTATGATATATTTTTTGTTCTCGTATTATAACTTTGTAAAAGTTACATCTGTACAAAAATTGTATCTTAAAACTTATTCTTAATATCAAGATAAAAATTATTTTATAAAATTGTTTCTTTGCAATAAGTGTTTCTCTACAAAGAAGAATTACCCAAATAAAGTGACATAAGTTAATTTTATAATTTCGAACTACATAATAATATTAAACATTCAATTTATACTCTCAAGTCAGCCATTTGCATCGACGTAATATTCAATTTTCGCTATCATTAAAAGTTTCCCTCCGGAAAGTTTAACCGGAGTTCTTTTATCGAAACAATCAATTTAAAAGTAACATCACGTTCTCGCAATCAGGAATTTACTTTAATTGTTGTTGTTCTCGAATGAGACCTTCCAGAATGTTACGTTAGACGTTTCCATTATTGTCGACGAATAGTTTCGTTCGCGAAAATCGAGTTAGAAACAGCTGCGAGCACCGAGTAACCATTCCACGTGGAAAGTACAGTTGAAACCCTGGAATACAACCGCGTACGATTAGAGTAGTCTGTAATTTACGTTTATGTTTCAATCTCGGTTCCTACACGGCCTCGATAATTGAACGGAATAATTGACACGGTAATGAACGCGTTTCAATTAGTCCAAGGAGGCCGAATTAATTTTCGAACCTATAGAATTATTGCTGGCAAACGTAATCACTATTGAGCCTTAATTGCTCGAATAAAATCAATTCCCAAATCGCAATTACAAACCCATTTTCATTATTGAACGCTTACGGTTCTTTTAATGGAAGTCATTTATAAGCTCAACATAATGTACAACGTCGAGGAAATGAAGTTTTAAACTGGTTTGGAGATTTCTAGATTTGGAAATTCCTGGGTATATGATTCTTTATAATTGATGTATAGATTTCTGGAGAACTACGTACTTAAATCCGTAGATTTGTGCATTTTTTTATTTATAGATTTATGGAGACTTAGATGCTTACTTGCGGAGATCCATAGATACATGGCTGCATTAATCTCTAGATACATGGATTTCGAGATGTATGAATTTCTAGATCTACTGATCAACGTATCCCTATATTACCATACCTCCATATACCCATATTACCATATCCCTGTATCGCTATATCCCTATTTCCCTATATCCTCATATCTCTAAATTCCTATATTTCAAAATTCCTATAACCCCAAATCCCTATATCACCATATCTCTCCATATGGCCATATTCTTATATCCCCATATCCTCATATCCCCAATTCTCCTAATCCCCAAATTCCCAAATACCCAAATCCACAAATCCCCAAATTCCCAAATCCCCAAATCCCCAATTCCCTAAATTTCCAAATTCTCAAATTTCCATTTTCCCAAAATTATCAAACCCTCAAATCCCCAAATCCCCAAATCCCCAAATCCCCAAATCCCCAAATCCCCAAATCCCCAAATCCCCAAATCCCCAAATCCCCAAATCCCCAAATCCCCAAATCCCCAAATCCCCAAATCCCCAAATCCCCAAATCCCCAAATTCCCAAATTCCCAAATCCTCAAATCCCCAAATCCCCAAATTCCCAAATTCCCAAATCCTCAAATCCCCAAATCCTTAAATTTCTAAATTCTCAAATTTCCATTTTCCTCAAATCCTCAAATCCTCAAATCCCCAAATTCCCAAATCCTCAAATCCCCAAATCCCCAAATTCCCAAATTCCCAAATCCTCAAATCCCCAAATCCCCAAATTCCCAAATTCCCAAATCCTC